GGCCGATGAGAACGGCGGTGGGGCCAGTCGCCTTGACCTCGTCGCCCTTCTTGAACTTCCCGAGGTTCTTGCCGTTCTTCTTGGATTTCTTCACCGGCAACCCCTTCTCCTCCGCCTCCTCTGCCGCTTTCTTTTCCGCCTCGAGCTCCTCCTCCGTTTTCGGGGCAAACACGTTCGTGGTAAACCGGAGCTTGTCGCCGACCCTGAAAGTGGTATGCACGGGGTTCCCCTCGTCGTCCTCGAAATTGCGAAGAGCGCCCTGCGCTCCCCCTGGCCTCAGGGCAACGTGCTCACCCACCAATGCGCCGGCGCCGAACGCCGAGTGCCCGGTAGAGTTGTCGAAGACCATGACCAGCTGCCGGTGTGGCTCGCTTGTCAGCTCGTGGATGGCGATGAGCCCCGGAATTTGCTCCAACATCCGTGCGCAGTTCCAGTACCCGTCTTGGTATTGCCCTACAGTCATGATGACCGCCGCCGTGGAAGAATCGTTCTTCGTTTTCTTCACCTGGCAGGCGCCGGGAATCCCTTTCAGCAGCTCGACGGCATCCTGCACGAGCTTCACGGCATGGCCGTCCTTCCCCTCGCCCTCTTTCCTGCCGAAGTAGATCCCGGAACGCTCGTAGCGTCCGGGAAACACCCGATGCGTCGGCGCCTCCCCGTCCTTGGGAGCCGGCCGCGCGACCTCAACCGGGTTCTCCTTATCTTCGACCACGTTCATGTCTTCCTGCATCATGCCCCAGGCCTCCTTCCCTATCGCTGCGACCCCTCTATCCACCCCAATGATGTCAGAGATGTGCGCGGCGCGTCCTTCCCCCTTCTTCTTGATGGCGGCGCCCTTCAACACCGACACCCACTGGTTGCTGCCGTCGTCGTTCTCCTTCGCCGTGGTCTCGTCGTGAAAGTAGAGGGCGAGGACCTCGTGGTCGGGCACCAAGCAGAAATCCCCTCGCCCGTCCCGCCCCAGCAGGTCGTGCGGGTTGAAAGGGACCCGCAAAGAGCTGTCAAACAGCTTGCGTTTGCAGTCGCGGCACTCGCACCGCAGTGAGACGTTGAGAGCGTTCGGTTTTATCCGCACGCAGTCCCCGCAGGGACGCTCGCCGTCGTGGACGTGCACGTGTTTGTACTCCGTCTCTCCATCCACGATCCGCCGGGCTGGCCAGAAAAGCGCTTCCTCCTTCTTCTTC